TTAAAAAGTCGTTAAACATCTGAGTGGTGCACTACTGCTACTAGTGGTGAGAAAGTGTATTGCAACTTATTCAAAATCGCGGTCCAGTGGCCCTCTGCGGCCCAAAGTTAAAAACTGTTGTTCTTTTGAGGCCCTCAAGGTGGCGCTCACGGCCCAATTGGCCCATGGGTTGAGAATCTCTGTTCTGCTACACAGACAGAATAGCTTGGACAAGGTTTTAACTTAATACGTTGGTTGGAAAGAATTAAATGATTTTTACAAAATTTGGTTTCAGAAGTGTCACTGACAACAGAGAAGAATAAAATATGTTTTCTGCAACTTTCCACAGAGCCTTGCTGCACAACATCTGAACTACTGGTATAAACTTTTAATGAAATACAGGAGATCTGACTTTTTCCTAACTAATGTGTATTTAAAGTCCAAAACCCCCCAAAATAGTCCCAAGTGCTCTTAAGTGGTAATCACTGTTATAGAATACCATGAATATGTCTTTTGGCATTCAGGCCACGCAAAGCGTAAACAGCCATGGAAACAGACAATTATTAATGTATTCGTAACATCCAGTCCTGATAACTGTAATGTGCTACTTTATTAATTACCCTGTTTTTAACTGGTGCAGAACTCTGTGGCCTGATTTTTAACACCTCTTATCTCGCCAGTTTAGTGCCTCCACATGTCCCACTGCACTTTCTTAGGTCAGTTGATCCGTTGTTTTTGATGGTTCCAAACTCACGACTTAAACTAAGCTGCTTCAAGTCCAGAATTGTGGAATGACCTGCTTCTAATTGTCAGATAGTCCACTTCTTTCTGTCTTCAAGTCTTGTTTAAAAACACACTATTGTTCCTTTGACTCAAAAACTTCACCGTTTATTATAGCTCTGATCTCTTCAGCTGGTTTTGGTCATCCACAATTATTTCTGTGTTTAACTTATGCAACTACCTCTGTGTCATGGATGTGTCTGTCTGTACAGCACTTTGGTTGGCCTTGTGCTGTTTTAAGTGCTTAATAAAAAAGTGGTGTTGTATGGTAAACACCCAAACACACAAGCAAYGATTAAGGCCATGCCAGGGACCTTCACAGGCAGGAGTGTGTTCTAGATGGAGGCGTTTGCTAGTGAAGACAAGTTCAGAGGAGAAAGTTTCTGATTTAGAAGTAGGGATGGGGRCGATCTGATACCAATGTAATTCCAATAATAATTACCTAAAAAATGAAGTACTGTTCATGAACCCCTTGGAGTAAATTCAAAAGCTTGGTCTCATTAGAAAGGTAATCTGAAATTTTTACTTCAGCAGTCGTAATTATTGTAATTCTAACTAATATTTAGTTATTGAACTTAAAATACACTTGGATAAAATATTTTACAGCCCACCCTGCATGTGCATAACTAGGTAACAGCTGGTACAGGGAGTGGCAACAGCTAAAATACCTCAGAAATTCCATGAGATTCCACGTTTTATTCTGGAGTCCAGTTTTATAATGCCAGGTCCATGCTACTTAACCTGCTGCCACAAAACTCACTGGCTCTAATAAAGAAACAACGCTTAACCTGGAAGGGAGGCTAGTCACCCATGGTGGCCCACCATTCCTATACTGGGGGGAAAGCAGACATTCTAACTGTAAAATCTAAATACACCAAATAAAACAAATCTCACTACTCACTTTACTCATGTTGTCTTCATGATGCCAAACTTTCTTCCAGTTACAGTACATCGTTTTCTTTTTATGCTTGACAAATTGCTTTGGGTTTCGGTCAGAATGGAGCTTTGTTGGTTGTTCGGTGGGGATGGGGGATGATAGCGAAGGGGTGTGGAGGTATTTTCTAGACTGTCTACCTGTCTTTGCTCCTGCCTCCCACTCCAACACACTTCAAATATGAATTATCAGCTTCTTTCCTTGATCAGATGTTAAAGTTTGCTCTAAATTCAAATCCCTGCATCATTGCTGACTCATGATCTTCGGACCTTAAGTATTTGGATCACGTTGCAGTGAGGGTGCTATGAAGTCTGCCACTTTGGTTTTTGGTTGCTGAACCTAGACCTGACCAACTGCAGAGACCTCACATCATAGACCTGACCAACTGCAGAGACCCCACATCATAGACCTGACCACCTGTAGACCCCACACCATAGACCT